CCTCGGGGGGCACGCACCTCTACTGGGGACAGTGTGACACGGGCACGGGGCCAGGGGGCTCGGGCTGCGGACTGGATCCCTGGACCCCCGGCCCGCACTGGCTGTGCCTGGGGGCGCTGTCTGGTCCCAGGTCCACCGTGGCCGCCCCGTGCAGGGGCTTTTTCCCCCCCCCCCCCCCCCCGCCCCGTTCTTTCACACCTGTGCTTCTATGACCCCTTGACCCCCACAGGAATCCAGACCGGCAGGTGTATAGAGTATAAAGGGAAGCAGAAGACCTGTGAAGTCTCCGCCTGGTGTCCTGTGGAGGCAGTGGAAAAGGCCCCAGAGTGAGTTGTAGGGAGGGGACAGACACGGTGGCCCTCAGCTTTGAGCACATGAGGTTCTGCCAGGCACCCTTCTGACTTCCCTTCTCAGCACCGTCCCCCCAAGTCCCAGGTCTTACTGGCTTGGTGGCTCCTGTGCCAGGCACACTAGTGGTCTCTGGGAGGCCCCTGATAGTTGTTAAAATACTGAAATCATTCCATACCAACTGGTAAATAGCTAATACCTTCAGCACCCTTGGGTGCCCCTGTCCCTTGGCTGTCCCAGTACCTTCCAGGGCACCCCCAGGTACCTCCTCCAGTGCCACAGCAGGATCCTTTCAGACTGCCAGTGTCTGTACTGAGTGACTAAGGAAGAGAAGGTGGGAGGGAGGGAGGGGAAAAAGGAAAAAGGAAGGAAGAGGAAGGGAAGGGAGAAGAAAAGGAAGGAAAAGGAATGGAAGGGGAGGGAAGTTTTCTTAAGTTAAATGTTCATAGTGACATACAGATTTGGTGGTCCACTGTATTGACTCTTCTCTTTAACACAAAAGGTCAGGCCCGGAAGGCAGAACTTGATGTTAAATCTCAGAAACCACTGGGAGGGCTGCATTTCAGCAGAGAATAAGGAGAGCTGGATTCAAATCCTGGCTTTAACACATCCTTGCTGTGTGACCTTGAACAAATGGCTTAACCTCTTTGAGCTTCAGTTTCCTTGTCTTTAAAATGAGGGTAATAGGACTTCCCTGGTGGTCCAGTGGTTAAGACTCCGAGCTTCCAACACAGGGGGGCACGGGTTCAATCTCTGGTTGGGGAACTAAGATCCCACGTGCCACTCGGCGTGGCCAAAAAATTAAAAAATAAAATGAGGATAATAATTGCACCTACTTCACTGGGCTGTTGTGAGAATTAAATGAGATAATACTTGTACAGTGATTGCAAAGTGAGCCCTGTGCTTGGCACACAGTAAATGCCCAATAACACACACACAAATGATCTGCCCCTAGACATGTGGTGGTTCTAGACCAGCACTGTCCAATGGAACTTTCCGCAATGATGGAAAGGTTCTGTACCTGCACCATCCAATATGGTAGCCACTAGCTACATGTGGCTATTAAGCACCTGAAATGTGGTTACCACAACTGAACTGAATTTTTAGTTTACTTTAATTTAAATAGTCACACATGCCACAAATGCCTAGGAGATGTTGGACTATATTGGACAGTGCAGCTCAAGACAAATGTGACTCAGGGCCACACTATCAGGATCTATGGGGCAAAGAGAAGACTTCCCCAAACTGACTTTTTAGAAGGTTCAGGCAAAAGTTTCCTACGTCAGGATGGGAAGCACTAGGCAGTATCAGCCCGTCCGGCCCTCAATCGTTAATAGCACCACCCTGGTTCATTTGTAGGTCAGGGAAGTTTCTTTGTCACAGAATGAATATTCAGGACCTGGGTGGGACATCAGCCTACATTCAAGGAGTCCCTAGTTCAAGGCAAGAGGCTTCTCGATTGCCTGTGGTTTTCAGTCCTGGCTCTGCCACCATTCATTCATCAGATAAATACTGTGTATCTCTAATGTTCTGGGCCCTGGGCTGCAATTTTACATGACCCTGGGCAAGTAACTCCCTGAACTTTAGTTTCTTAGATGTTATAAGAATGGATTACTAAGATGATTCATTTAATTGTTCGTCCAACACATCAATTACCATGTAGTAGGTGTTAGATATTTATTTTACATGTAACCATACACAAGGGAGACAGTGCTAAATTTTTTGTAAAATACAAGAAGACCCAGCTATGCAGCAGGTCCCAAGGCTCTTGCAATCTAATATTGGGTTGGCCAAAAAGTTAGTTTGGGTATTTTGTAACATCGTACAGAACGAAAACGAAAACGAAAAACCCGAACGATCTTTTTGGCCAAACCTATAGAAGAGATAAGACACATGTACAGAGGGCTGTAATTCATAATAGAAAATTATAAGTGTCATGAAAGAGGAATAAACGGGATCCTGTAGTCCTTTGATTCTTAGAGTATTGCCCAGGAAGTGTGGGGTTTAGAATGTTCTAAAGGCAAAGGGTCTGGCATATAGCAGGCATCTGTCGTAAATAAGATTTTTTGTGTGTGCAAGGGACAAATATAACTTTAACTAGGGGGCTTCCCTGGTGGCGCAGTGGTTAAGAATCCGTCTGCCAATGAAGGGGACATGGGTTCGAGCCCTGGTCCAGGAAGAACCCGCATGCCGTGGAGCAACTAAGCCCGTGCACCACAACTACTGAGCCTGAGCTCTAAAGCCCACGAGCCACAGCTACTGAAGCCCACGTGCCTAGAGCCTCTGCTCCTCAGCAAAGAGAAGCCACCGTAGTGGGAAGCCCGCGCACCTCAACGACAAGTAGCCCCTGCTCGTCGCAACTAGAGAAAGCCCGCGCACAGCAACAAAGACCCAATGCAGCCAAAAATAAATAAATTTTTAAAAAAGTTTAAGTATAAAAAAAAAAAAAAACTTTAACGGGCTTCAGAAAAAAAGGACTGTTAATTTTTGGCTTGTGTTTTTGACTCATGTAAATGAGAAGTCCAGAAATACTAGCTTAAGGCATGGCTTGATCGAGGCTTTCAAATGATGTCTTAAGAGTTTCTCTCTCTATTCCTCCACCTTCCTCCTCTCCCCAGCCCCTAACTATTCTTTCTTCCATTCTGGCTCTCCTTACACTGTGGTCTGGGGCACTCCAGGTTTACACTGTCTTTGCTACTAATAATCCTAGAGAAAATGAGTTTTTCTTTCCCAACAGCTCCCACAAAAATCCTGTAATGTTCTCAGTGGCCTAAGGCATGTGACAATCTATGAACTGATCACTGCAGCCAAGGGGATTGGATTACACTGTTTAACCAGCTCTGGATCACTTGCCCACCCTGGGAGCTGTAGGGATGGGCAGGAGATGAGAGTGGGCTGAGAGTGGAAGAGACCTGGCTTCCCCAAAGGGAGAAAATTGAGGTGCTACTGCCAAAGGGGGAATTGTTGCTGGACAGGCAAAAATTAGTGTTCTCTATAGTTATATCTCCAATAAAGCCAAAGTTGGGCTCTGGAAGTCCTGGAATAAAAAGCAGATCATTCTTTTTTTTTTTTTTTTTTTTTTGGCTGCATTGGGTCTTCGTTGCTGCACGTGGGCTTTCTCTGGTTGCGGTGAGCGGGGGCCACTCTTCATTGCGGTGCGCGGGCTTCTCATTGCGGTGGCTTCTTTTGTTGTGGAGCACGGGCTCTAGGCGCACGGGCTTCAGCAGTTGTGGCTCGCGGGCTCTAGAGCGCAGGCTCAGTAGTTGTGGCGCACGGGCTTAGTTGCTCCGCGGCATGTGGGATCTTCCCAGACCAGGGATCAAACTCATGTCCCCTGTATTGGCAGGCAGATTCTTAACCCCTGTGCCACCAGGGAAGTCCTTTTCATTTTCTTTTTAATATTTATTTATGTATTTATTTATTTAGGTTCGCTGGGTCTTAGTTGCAGCGAGCGGGGTCCTTAGTTGTGGCATGCATGTGGGATCTAGTTCCCTGACCAGGGATCAAACCAGGGCCCCCTGAATTGGGAGCTGGAGTCTTAACCACTATGCCACTAGGAAAGTCCCCAAAAGCAGATCATTCTTGATGTCCCCTTCCAAATACCCTCCACCTTTAGCCTGTGCTTCTCCCAATATACATCTGCCACCTACTCAGGCATGTCAGGCAACAGTGGTACCTTTTTATGGAGCCAGTTCTCTCCATCTTTAACAGATTGTCAACCCCACAAGGACAAAAACTTTGACTGTCTTGTTCATCACTATATCCCTAGTGCTCAGCCCCATGCCCAGTACAATAAATATTTGTTGAATGAATGAATGCATGGATGGTGGGTGGACCTTCCAGCAGTCGAGAATTTGGGCTCCTCTCACTCATGGAGAATTTTACACTACTCAGAGCCTCTAGAGTGTGAATGATAGAGTCGATTATATATGTGTGGCCCTGTGCTAAAGGCTGAGGATGCCAAGATGAGAAAGTTGTCTCAGCCCTGCAGGATCACAAAGCCTATTGTGAAAGATACAAACAGGAGTGTGCTGGAGCTGGCTTGTACCAGCTCTGAGCCATTTCTGCTCATCCCTTCCCAACTCCAAGTTCATTGATGTTCTATTGGTAGCTTGAAATCAGCTAGAGTGGGAGTATTTATACCACAATAATCAGTAACTCCTACAATATCAGGGCTTTTTGTTTTCCTGGAGAGCTGGTTATTAAATGTTTACCAACATACCACTGTGCATAACTAAACATATAATTATATCAGAGTGAGAAGTATTACAGTAAATGCCACAGGGTCTCTTTTGTTTTTTGTGGGTTTTTTTGGCCATGCCACGTGGCTTGCAGGATCTTAGTTCCCTGACCAGGGATCGAACCCGCGCCCCCTGCAATGGAAGTGCAGAGTCCTAACCACTGGACCACCAGGGAATTCCTTCCACAGGGGTCTTAAGAAGGGAGAAATTCTTCCTGGAGAAGCTGGAGAATTTTGCAAGGTTTTTCCCAGTGGATTGCATTTCTCTTCATCCATCATATTGACCCAAGCAAGAAACCAGAGCCTCTGGTCCATTGGCCCACTGACTCCTTTGGTCCCTGTAGTCACTGATCCCCATTTTTCATTTCTCTCTTTCAGGCCTGCGCTCTTGGGCAGTGCTGAAAACTTCACTGTGCTCATCAAGAATAATATCGACTTCCCCAGCCACAACTACACCACGTAAGCACCCAGAATGTCTAGCTATATTAGTTATCTACTGCTGTGTAACAAATGACCCCAACACTTAGAAACTAAAAGCAACAAACTTTAATTTTCTCATATAGTTTCTGTGCATCCCAGAATGACATCTGGGTATGACTTCACTGGGCGGTTCTGGCTCAGGGTCTCTCAGGTTGCAGTCAAGCTCTCATCTCCAGACTGGACTGGGGCTGGAGAATACTCTTCCAAGCTCACTCACACAACAGTCAGCAGGAGGGCTCAGTACTTCATCATGTGGACCTCTCCTTCAGACTGCTTGGGTGTCCTTAGGACACGGTGGCCGGCTTTCCCAGAGCAAGAGATCCAAGCCAAAGAGCAAGCAAGCGAGACAGTAACCAAGATGAAAGCCACTGTATTTTATAATCTAATCTCAGAAGAGACACACTATCACTTCTGTCGTATACTACTGGTCACAGAGACCAACACTGTACGATATGAGAGGGGAATACACAAGGGTGTAAATCCCAGGAGGCAAAATCACTGGAGGCCCTCATGATGCCCAGGTACCACATTGGTTCATTCCTATGAAAGAGATGGATTCCAGTTTTCAATAGAGATGTTTCCTTGTTTGCTTTCCATTACGTGCAGGAGAAACATCTTGCCAGATTTAAACGCCACTTGCACCTTTCACAAGACTCAGAATCCACAGTGTCCCATTTTCCGACTAGGAGATATCTTCCAAGAAACAGGAGATAATTTTTCAGATGTGGCAATTCAGGTTGGTGACATCTTTGTACAGTGGGATGTGGGGGGTGGGTCAAGGGATGGAGGATGACAAATGGCCAAGAGGCTGGACCACTGAGTCTTAATAATATGCTCATATTTATTGAGCATTTTGTAAATCCATGCACGGTGACAAGGACTTTTCCTGCATCACCTTACCTAATCCCACAACAACTCTATGAGAGACACTCAGTGTATTCGTTTCCTGTGCCTGCTATAACAAATTACCACAAATTTTGTGGCTTAAAACAACACATTTTTTTTTATACTACTGGAGGTCAGAAGTCCAAAATGAGTTTCACCGGGCCAAAATCAAGATATCAGCAGAGACATGCTCCCTCTGGAGGCTCTAGGGGAGAATCCATCTCCTTGCCTTTTCCACCTTTTAGAACTGCGTTCCTTGCATTTCTTGGCTCACAGGCCCTTTCCCCCCCCCCCCCCCCCCCCGAGCCGGGGCAGCCTGCCACTGCCAGGGTCCTGTGATCCAGGGACAACTTCCCCGGGAGGACGCACA